CGTTGAGGAGGCAATGGACGTGCTGCGCTGTCGCATGGCGGATATCAGGCGAGGGGGCATGTGGGTTATCGTGGGCAAGGGGAATCACTCTGTTGGCAAGGCGAGGTTGGGACCGGCGATTGAGAGGTATTGTGGGGTTATTGGGGTGAAGGTTGACCAAAGGGTTGAGGAGGGGAGGTTGTATTTGCATTAGTGTTGGGTGGGGGGGCTGTAGGATCATTTTTTGCTCTCCTTCTTTCCCATTTTTTCCGCGGGCGGGGCGGGCAGGGAGGAGGGATTCTCGTGATGTATATTTGTGAGTATTATGTACGCCTGCTGAGCTTTTGTATGATAAGTATTTGCACGCGCTTTTTTTCTTTCTTTTATTAGGCTGGCGCTTGGTCACGATTTCTCACTCGATATGCTGTTCCTGGATTTCTACAGTGGTGATGAGTCCTTGGATAGCGGAGTAAATGCTCCCGTGTCTAGTAGCGCTCATCAGCCTTTCATATTCCAACCCTCGAATTCTCGCAAGGAGGACTAGAAACCCAAGGGTAATAAACGCTACTGGGTGATTTTCGCTAAATACGGTCCGCCGTTTAAGTACCAAAGCCAACACTATGGTACCTACCTTGGAAGTTTAGCACCTTGCCTTCCCCGAGTGTGGGTGGTATGACCCGGCCCGTAATGGAGGATGTAAGCCTACATTTGAACAAAATCTGCTCCAGTCACCCTCACAACCTTGATATCATACCTTGGAAATGGGTTACCCGCAGTCACCCGGAGTGGGATGTCGAACTGGGTCGAGGTACGATATAGGATTGAGTGTTTTTGTCGGTAAGCATTGGCGGAGCGGGATTTAGGTATTGGGTGGTCTGGGTGGGGCGACCGAAAGTATATACTTTGTTGTAGTATATAGTATATTTGCTATTTATGTTATAATGTGATACTATACAACGCTATACATACATATGTATGATACGGGCCTGTTTGGGCAGGACTGTTCCGTTCCGTTTCCCCATACAAACGACCGTTAAGTTATGTTATGAAGATGCCAAGACAACCATTTCTCCGGATGTGACAAAATCATCCCGAAACAGGAAGACATTTAAGTATTCGCTGAGACGGGGCGTGAAGCTTACCGGACGCCGGACTGACCCTAGAGGATAAGGGGGTGGTGTCGCAGCTGGGGAAGGTGGGTGGATTTGGCGTGTCCGGGATCGGGGTTATCGGGGGGGCGGTAATAGTCGGCGGTGGGAGTAACCACTGTGAACTGGAAAGGCTCGTGCTGCAAGAGAGGTTAACAGAGATCCTGTGCGGACAGGGGTAGCAGTGATCAGATAATATGGCTTACATCCTATGTTGCCCGAATGATTGTGAGGCTAGCTGTGCGTTAGGGGGAAAAGTAGGAAGGGGGAAGAAGTGATGTACTAGCGGGCGGTAGCGCGGTGATAACAGAGTATTAGCGAAGGCTAGCGGGGGCGGGGGCGGGGATAGGGGCTTGCATACAAACCAAGATGGGCCCGAGGTGATTGGTCAGCACTCCGAGGCCGTAAGTTAGGGGGTATTCGCAATGCATACCACATATCTAGGAAACCTGGTGTGAAGTCGGTCGGGAATCAGGGCCATTGACGAGGGCCTTGATAGTTGTCGATTGCACACAATCCGAGAGGGCGGGGGAGATATATCAAGAACGTAACGCCAAACTATAGAGAGGATGGAGGCCCAATTACCGCCTGAAGGAAGAAAGAAGCCTGCTATCGGGAACTGTCTCGTCCGAGGGCCGTGCCTGGTCCGGCTCACCTACTTTCTATAACGCTAGGCGAACTGGGGGGTAGTAATTGCTAATTGGCTCGTCTTGGAAGTGTGGCTGGTCCAGTTCACTTGTTTGCTGCAGAACTCAGCCATCTAGAGGTTAGCAGCCGTCCTGTCCCTGCGCTATGGGTAATCCTCTTTATGTACCCACTATAACACTTAGCTGGCGAGGGGTCAGCAGCTGTCTAGCGCCTGAATATTTGTTGGCCCTGTCTGCTCACCCCCTGGAGCACTCAGCGAGAAAGAGGTCGGAGGCAGCCTCGCCTCGGACTCGTGCTTGATCTTGCTCAGTTACATCCTAGAACACTCGGCCAGCTAGAGGCTAGCAACCGCTGCCCCCATAACTGTGATCGATCCTGTTCACTTACTCTTTGTAGCACTCAATGAGCGAATGGTTATCAATTTTCTCGTCTCTGAGATGTGATTGAGGCAGTTCTTTTACCTCTTATATCACACAGCGGGTCAAGGATGAGCAGTTGTCTCCCTCATAGGTCGTGGTTGGTCCTATTCACTAAACCACTACAGCACTCGTCGGGATAGAGGTTAGCTATTATCTTATACTGGAACTGTGGTTGATGAGGTTCGCCTGCCTTCCTCAACAATCAGCGGGCCAGAGATTAGAAACGGCCCCGCCCCCAAGTTTGGCGGATCCGGTTCACCGCTCTCTACAGCATAGTGCCAACACTCAGCCAGCCAGAGGTGGGAAATTGTCTAGTCTCAGAACAGTGATTCACTTGTTACAAAACTCCGCCATCCGGGGGTAAGCAACACTTGGCCAACTAGGGGCTTGCGATTTTTTCATTTCAGAGCAGTTGTTGATCAGGTTTAGGCACCCACACTCAGCGAGAAAGAGGTTAGAAGCTGCCCTGCTCCAAAATAGTGATTATCCCTATTCACCTACATCAGATTCTAATAATGCAGAGCGAGACACATCTCGGCAACCTGCCCGTCTCAGAAGTGTGACCGACCCAGCTTGCGGCCCGCCTACTACAACACGCTGTGACCCGAAGCCCGGCAATTCCAGTCCCCAACCCCCCGCTCGTCCTGCCCCCTCACCTCGTACAACGCTCAGCAAGCATGAGTTCATTACCCTCCTCATCCCGCAACCGCGCACAATCCCGCTTACTTGACATCAGCAGCACTCGGCAAGCCAGAGGTCAGCAATCCAATTATGTGCTGCACAACTTATCATAAGCCATCTAATCATATCACCTTCCCTCTTGTACTGCCTAGGCCACCCAGGAACGCCAAGCCGTCCCTGGCAAGTGGGACGGAATGAAGGGAAGCAAGAAAGGAATGAAAGGCGGAGGAAAAACGGAACCGACGGATATCTCAGGCTTGTCCGGAGATATGAAAGAACGCTTCCTTCGAGAGTCCTACATCAGCCCAAGATGGGTTTTATTGGGCTGCAGGTTCAAGGCCAACTACAAGCGGAACAAGTCGTCCATATTCTTAACCGCCTGGGACCTCGGTAGAGTCCTATGGGATGACTTCCAAGAGCTCCGGACGAGACCGGACTGCAAAATGTGGTTTTCCCCGTCTTGGAAGTCTCAATAGGGCGTTCATCGGGGAGCACAACTGGTCCTACAATTTAAGACCGATTGGAATAGGGGGTCATGTGGGAGGGTGGGAGGCTGCAGGTGGGGGAAGCTGTGTGGATGTCAGAGTGCAATCGGTGACCGCAGGTGAATGCGGGGAGCTATGGGGGGCGGCGGGAGATTGATGTAGTTCCTATCAGAGCCATATCCTTGCACCCTCTTGGAGAAATCTGTTGGGTCCTATAAACAATATGTGAGGGGTGGAAAGATGACAAAGAACAGTTAGATCGAAGCAGAAGCTCGTCGAATCGTTTGTTGATAACTTAAGAATACGATCAAAAGTTCACAATATAGCGATCCTATTGGACCCATTAACTTGTTTTACCCGCTATTGCCCTTGCCCATTCCCATACTGTCAAGTCTCCATCGCCAACTATATACAACTTCGGAGTGAGTCGGATAAATAACTTGTATTGAATATCCGGGATTGCCAACACTAGATCCTTCCCGCAATCCCCCCCCCTCCTCCACAAGCTCGCTAGAAGTCCTGGGAGTAATTCACGAGGTTCGGGCAGCGCACCTGGCGGACCATTAACTCCAACCGCTGGAAGCAATACTAGCGAACACGAGCACAGTGTGATAACATATCAAGGAAGAGCACTAGTTTTCCAGATAACAGCTCCTCTCATCCGACGGAATGATAGGTCTTCCCCTCAATCCTTATATCACACGCGAGTCCCTAACTTATCCTCGACCTTTACCCCCACCAGAAATATACCCGAGTCCTGTAACCCCCCATGCGAGGAATTTCTCGTCGGGGGAGCGGGGGACAGTACACGCTCCAAGTCGTCAGACGAGTTCGGAAAACGGCCGGAGGGGACGGGACAGGATGGTAGAGTGATTCCTCCTAAAGCCCTCTGTTACGTACTGTCCTCCTCAAAGAAATGTTTGTTAGTTGTCAAGATCATCATCCGATGCACTCGCTCACTCACGCGAACCGGCACGACTAAACATTGCGCTGCTGCATCTCTTGCCGGGAGTGGACCCCCCCCTAAGTTATGTTATGAAGATGCCAAGACAACCATTTCTCCGGATGTGACAAAATCATCCCGAAACAGGAAGACATTTAAGTATTCGCTGAGACGGGGCGTGAAGCTTACCGGACGCCGGACTGACCCTAGAGGATAAGGGGGTGGTGTCGCAGCTGGGGAAGGTGGGTGGATTTGGCGTGTCCGGGATCGGGGTTATCGGGGGGGCGGTAATAGTCGGCGGTGGGAGTAACCACTGTGAACTGGNGGGGGGGAGCCGTATTTGGGGGCATGGATGGCTTCGAGAGATGGGGAGGTTGGTGAATACTCGACATCTGTGGTGTGGAGCCGTCGTCCATAAACTTCTTTGGGTTAGTTTTTTTTCTAGCACCCCGCGCCCCCCACATGGCAGTTTTGTCGGTCTTAGAATGGACCTTCAGAAAGTTGAGATTCCCGAATACCCTAAATTCCCACCGAGATGCAAATAGATCTTGGAACGGAAATGGAAGTAACTTAGAGGCCTTCTGCTCCATGCCCTGGGTGGAAATGGGAAGTAAAGAGTGAGGGCAAAAGTTACGCTCCTGTCGCTACGGGTATGGCGGCGCTTGAGGCGCTACAAGTGTTGCAACGGGAGGGTAAAAACCCGGGGCGGGAGTCGAACCCACACCGTTCAGAGTTTAGACTTCTGAAACGATACCATTACGCCGGGTGGGACCGCTGGGTATTGGTGAGAAAACCTCTTGTATAGGGGTCAATCCCGGATCTCTATATTCAAGGTGTAAGCCCTCATGTTGCACTCCCACACAGTAATCAATCATTATGGAAATCGTACCTTTGGAATTGCGGGTAGGTGTTCAGTAAAACCAGGGTGCACAGTTTCCCCTCGCGCTTTAGATTCACTTGACCGGGTTACCCGTACATCTACGGCACCATTCGACTTCGCCATTGGCCATCATCTACGCCATAAAATTATAAAACCATTCCGGGAGCCTCTTTCACAGGAATCTTATTTTTGACCTTCCCATCCATATGAGCGTTGATACTCCCTGGCAGTGGCATTCTGGCCATACCCTCGTCTTTCCGGGGATCCCCACGATGGGCCTATCCGGATAACAGATTGGACACGCTTGCCCAAACCCCAGCACATTTGCTATTGAACTCATCCGGCATTGGTTTTACACACGTAACCCGTAGGACTTATGGTATCATGCATATTACACGATGGATTCTCGTTTGTTCAACTCATCGTCTGAGATAATTGTAGCAGCCGCTTGGCTGTTCCCGGCATTTGAGCTCATGCTGAAAGCCGTTGGACCGTAAAACCCTAGGAGGTAACGAGGAGAGTTACTCATATCATTCTGAAAATCCTCCACGGGGGGTGATCACGGCGAATAAAACAGGAGGGGTTGGAGACCCAGTGTGAGAAAGGGGCAAAGTTTTGCACCGCCAAAACTAATAAGAGAGAGGGTCCAATCCCTCGGAGTTCTGTGGATCTCGGAATATCTCTGAAGTTAATTATAATGCCCTTTTTCTTGATATCTTAACACACGTGAGGAAAGGAATCTCGTTCGTTATGATCAGCAGTCTGGTCGTTGTAACCTTAGCTCCACCTCTCATCCCCCCCTCCCCTTAGTGCTTTCTATCATAGCTTAGAGACTGCAGTAGGCGGTTTGGGATTACACTGCTACCGGTAGCACTGCACCCCCCAACATTGACATAGACCGATATTTTTCTATCGGCCCGTCTCAATCCAGACACCAAGTCTTCAAAACCTCACAGACAGCCAAACCACCAAACTCCAATCAGGAATTTCAAGCTAACTAGTAAAGTCAAACGGGGAGGGGAAAAAAAGGTATGAATTCAATCCCTTTTAGTTCTGCGACCCTCGAAAGGCAACGAACGGGCTGGAGAATCAACAATGTTAGGCCTGCACGAATGCCACCCAATCATCACCAACGTAAAAAGCGCTCCTTAAGTTAGTTCTCATTCCCGAATTAACTTTTGCCCAATGCCTATGCAACCATCCCCAAGCGCCATCCGTGTATCATAGCTCCTCAAAAAGCGCAGGCCACCGCGCGTGGATCCTGTGGATCATAGAGGCAGCGCGGTTTCCCGACATCCTGGTTGTCGGGTTTACAGGGTTATCGGCGCAATCACCGGTGACACCCAACCCAACCGGGGAAACTCGCCGCCGAACCCTGCCCGACCCAACGAGTACCCTAGCACTCGTTCCCATCACCAGGCTCGAGCGGGCATGAAAAGGTGTTATTAGTGGCTCCTTTATGTGTGCTGTTAGCGCGGAGCGGGGTCGTTGTGAGCGGGGCTTTCTGGACTATGTTCGTGCCGCTCTGGGTGAGTGGGGAGGTGGGGGCGTGTGACCTATAACTTGATTCCGATTGGCGAGTGATGGCGAGTGATTGCGATTGACGGGGATAGTGGGTGGGGTTGGGGGGTCATGGTACCGGAGTTGGGGGGGTGACTGTGCTCGGGAGTATTGACAAACTTCGAAGAGGGGGGTTTGGTGAGCACTCGATATCGGCTGGTGCTCGGGTAGATGGGGTCGTCCGTAGACTTATTCGGGTTGGTGTTTTTCCAACTCCCGATGGCGATTTTGTCGATCCCGGATGGGACCTTCGGAACGTCAAGGTTCCTCGTTACCCTACATTCCTACCTAGGCACGAAGGGTTGTGAGAACAAAAATGGAAGCGGGGGCCCTTTCGTTCCAGTCCATGGCTTCATATCCCGGTTGGCAGTGGGAGAAAGGAATAAAAACAAAAATAACCGTCCTGTCCCTACAGCTATGGTAGCGCCCAGCGCTGCGGCAGCTGTGGCGACGGGAGTGGAAAGCCCAGGGTGGGAGTCGAACCCACACCGCTCAGAAATTAGTACTCTGATGCGATACTATTACGCCAACTGGGCTACTTTGCCTATGAGGGAAACCCTCTTTTATACCAGCCAATCCCAGATTCTTCCTGGAATACATTCGAGCTTTAAGCCTCCACGTTGCCCCACGCCGCACTCCCATACAATAATCTGTCATTATGCTAGTCTTGCTTTTAGAATTATAGGTAAGATTACTAACCCCATGAAAGATATAGTGGGAAGGATGAAGAACTGCGGGGAATATGAGTGTGAGTGAACCAGAAATACATGCTTTCTCGTGTCTTGGATCCCCTTGGCCCGGTTGACCACACCCTATGGCGCCAAGCGGCTTCGCCATCGGGCATCACCTAAGCGGTGATATTATGAACTAAGTTATGCACTGAGTCCCCTTGTGCGACCTCCCTGTATCTCTCCACAACTCAGTAAATGCCGTTCCACTATCCACCGTTGTTGGGAATCCTAACTTTCCATCCACGTATAGATAAATCTGGAGAAGGTTTGGACCGCTTCCCAACGTCCTTAATGCCACCCACTCACCCTCCATTTTCCCCGGGCGTTTGGACCCGGCAACGTGACACTGCGGAAGGGACATGATTAAGGGCTTCCGCATGCAATATGTGACGTAAAACAAGTCCGGGATCGGACACTCCCTCTGATGATAGGAAACCCGCATGCCGTCCTCTCAAAATCACAAATCTATTGTCGGCTACCCACCAGTCATCTCAAGCCGGGAGGCCCCTTCAGCAGGCAAGGTGTCATACACCTTCCCATCTAGATGGGGGCTTTGATGTTTGCCAGAAGCACTCTGGTCATACCCTAGTCTTTCCGGCAAAGCCTCACAATGGGTATAAGGTACCCGGTAATAAATCTGCCATCTGGCTCAATCACAACCCACCCAACCCGGCGGGGGTTTACATGGGCGGCCCATATGATCTAAGTATGTAACTTACTACCGATATTCATTCAACCCACCATCCGAGACAATCATAGAAACCGCCCGGCCGCTCACAGGTGCCGTGTTCAGGTTGAAAGTGGTTGGACTACAAAGGCTGGGGGGTGGGTAGGAGGGTTACTCATACCATTCTGAAAGTCCTCCATCGCCGATGATAAATTGGCGTGAACAGGACGGGAAGGGCGTATACCGAGAGGGAAAGAGTGGGAGAGTTCATCATTACCAAATATGATATAGAGAAGCCCCTCAGAGTTTTGTGGGTCTTCTTGGAGGGGGGCTCTGGATCGGATCCCCCTTTTCTTAACTCTCAACACCTTAACATCGTCAGATATTTTCCACCAGCCGGCCCCCTCCCGCGCGGGATCGAGCGGGACACCGGGGCCTGAAGACTTGATGGACAGCCAAAGCATTGCATTGTGAATTTGGGACCCATGAGAGGCGACCAGGTTGGGGATCACAACGTTAGTCCCTACATAAGGCGTCCAATCACCGACATAAAAGTATTCCTTGGTTTATGCTCCTGGATCAATTCGGTCAATTGCCAGCTATCTGTCCCCAAACACCACTACTCGACCAGTTCCTTCCACAAGTGTGAGCTATCGCGGCTGCGTGGCTTCCCACCATCCAGGTTGTCGGGCTTACTGGGTTTCCCGGGTGTCAATCACCGGTGATGGGCAACCTAATTTGGAAAACGGGCCACGTATCCCGATCCAACCCGGTGAGTGCCCGGGTATAGATTTACACATTAGCCCATCTATTGTACCCATTGTGGGGCTCGAGCGGTATGATAGGGTGTTATTGGTATCCCGTGTCCGGTAGCAGGGTTGGAACGGGATCCTCCTGTTGGGGGATTTTTTTCTTCTCCCTGGTGTGTTCGTGCCGCTTCGGGAATGTATGGAGGTGGGAGTGAGTGTCTGGTAGGCAAAATCGGGTTTTCGAGTGATGGTGCAGTATTGCGAGTGGGGGATAATAGGTAGGAAGCGTTGGGGTATGGTGATGGAGCGGGAGAGTAACTATATTTGGGTAGACTATAGGTATCGTAGCTCCGAGACGTGGGGGAGTGATCAAGAACCAGGTGCTGGTAGGTGGGGTCCCCCTTGGGCCTATTCGAAGTGGTTTTGTAACTGCTGACCCCCGCGAGTTAGGGTTCCAGGCTACCTCACTCCCCTAACGGGCCTAACCAGGCGCAAGGAGATGTGTGATAAGGGGAAAATGGAAGCAAAAGGCTTTCCCCCTGATCAATGGTCCTTTGGCACGCCTTGCAATAGGTTAAAAGAATAGAGGGTAATTACACTCGAGTTCGCAAGGTAGGGCTCCAGGTATATGGTGGGCGGCGGTGACATCTTGCATCCTAATACAATAGCCAAGCGTAATGGAAGCAATCTTTCCAGAAGTATGCACATGGGCCTCACGAAGGAAAGATTAGTAACCATGCAAACTATATATCATACGGCAAGTGTCTGACAGGTTGTATATTTACTTCTATCCCGGAGCCGCCGATGAGTAGCCGGGGGTCGGCATCGCCCAACGAATGAAGAAACGGATACATCGACGCAGGAAAGATGATCGGAAGAGGAAAGGATAGAAAAGTGCAGACTCTTTTATAAAGAGTGTCTGCGAAGAACGAGAGGGGCCTGGAAGAGTTATGGTAGCATAACGGAAACTGAGAAAGCTTCCACTATTCGGTACTTCAACGATTCTAAAGCGAATAGGTACCCCAGACCTGTGCCTTCCTACTGCTACGCGGTGGCACCCACGATTTCCCGTGTTTGCACTGTGCATACCTGGCGGGGGCACGAGGTTTCCGAATACTGAAGGATTAGGCTGAGAACGAGGAGACACTGGGTACTGTACACTGCTAGCATGGCTCAACACGTGCCAGTGCCCAAGGGGGCATTATCAGGACTTCTGAATGCCTTCTATATGATGAGAGAACACTGGCTCGGGATCAGCTCCCCCTGACAGGAAATTCCCCCATCGTCTGAGAAACGACGGTCGCTGGTTATCCACTGGTCACTTCGGACTTGGAGGACCCTTCACATGCAAGATATTTACCCCCCCCTCCCACGATATCGGTATTGACTTTCCTCCACATCAGCGCTCCCGCACCCCTGAATAGCATACGGTTCGCTGCGCTGCAATATATCATACTTAGCCCCCGCCCCCATCCACTATACGCGACTGGCACTAAATTTTCCAAATTTTGCCACATCAATTTAGCCCGCGGGCATTGAACCCTTGCACCCAAAACCATCCCATAGAGTACCTGCACCTAGCTTCACAAATCACTCGTTTATGCTCGAATAACGCCATCCGTTGATCCTCCGAAATCTTGGAAGCGGTCCGATCAGCGTCTAGCTTTGTGATCAAGAAAGGGATGTTTCTCGAGGAAATCGGCAACTATGTTCCCAGAAAGGTAGCAGGTATTACTTTGTTTTAGGATACCCCTCAGCTTGTGCATGCTGTGGCTAATGTTGCAAGGCCTCGAGCGAGGGCTTAAGACTCGATGCAGTGCTCGCAAGAGGCACCCAGTCCGGCCAGGCTTTGGGCCTAACCCGGCCGGCCTGGGGTTTTCCGGGAAGACTACGGATATCTGCAAGCTTCCGGGTGATCGAACGTGATTGCCCAGATTCAGGGAGTATTCTGGGCATGTACTGTGCAAACGTTGACATGGGGTAAATGGAATGCTAGTGTATGCGTCAACAGTCTCTGCGTGTACGTGACTATAATGGTTGATATGTTATCTTCAATATAATTTCTTACGGGCTCAAATCATTTATTTGTCTTGGTGGCTCTGCACCGACCTATAACTAGCTAATCCCCCAGTGCTACAGAATTAAATAAAACACTACCATGGGTAGGCCCATCTCGCAACCACTCCTTTCTGGGAGTCGGGTTAAGGGACCTCCGGGTGTAGATCTGAGCGTGGATCCGGAGTGTAAGCTCATATATCCAATTGTTGTGTTAAACCGGATTATTAAGATAATAAGGGAAAGAAATAATTTGGGTTGCGGAATCACTAGGATGAAGCGTGCTTCGAGAATTCAAGGTTAGTGATGATGCTGAAGCAGTAGGAGAAAACATCTCCGTAATCAAGTAATAATTGCTAAAGTGCAAGTGTTCTATCTCCTGTACATTTTAGGAATATATTGAGTGATCTTTTACGATGAGGGTCCGAAAGCGGTGTCCTGGATGCCTCTTTAGGGCGTGTTAGGATCCTTTTTTTGATTCTTCTGAGCAAATAACAAGTTCCTCCAGGGGCTGCGCACCATGACCCGGTGCCTGGCTGCTGCCCAGTATAACATGTGCACATACTCCAGTAACATTGCACTACTTACAGGTTTCATATGTTTTGATTTTATTTAGATTTTGCATACCTGGAACTATACTAGGATTCCAGCGAGATTAGTGATAGTTATATTTAGTAGCTGAATGTGTTGGATTTCATATTGCTATGTTTGGTTATTTCAGGATTGAAATAGGACATGTATATTGGAGGTCAGGAGGAGGAAGCTTAGGTATTAGAGAACTCTGATAGGATCTCAGGATTTCATTGGACAGTGCACTCACTGGTAATGATTGGGATTGCAAGTTTCATAGACTCATACCTGGCAAAGGGAATTATGTATTCAAGGCACCAGTCTCCTGACTAGCAGGAGACTAGACTTCAGCAGAGGCCTGGACAGATAAGAATATACTTGGTTGAATGGCAATCTCTTATTCCCCTCCTTCTCTCCTACCTTGCTATCATACAATAGACTCTTATCTTTATTCTCTTAATCTCCCTTAGACTCTAGCACTAGCCAGACTACCACACAGTCTATTGTACTCATGTATACACAGGCTAGTACTGCCTGTTACAGTAGTATTCTTAACTACAAGCAATCGCATGTTCTATATACTTTCAGTTGTAGATTTCTGGCACTTTGAGTAGTAGCTTACCTTATATGTAATATATTCACTAGTATTAGCATAGCCAGATGACTCAACTAATGTACTGGGCCTGGAGGAGGTATATGAAATTAACTATATTAGCAGAGCAGTTTGAATTTGATATCTTTTATATGAAAGGCCCCCATCATCT